TGTGTGTGTGTGTGTGTGTGTGTAGTGGCGTCCAAAAGAAACTTGAAAATGTAATCACCCAATCATTGTGATATTGGCTTACGCAACCAGCTCATGAAATATACCAGTTGAAAACTAGATAAATTCTGCATCATCTGACACATTAATATTTACGTCTAGGTTGAGAGACGACTGAGATATAGTCACTCAAAACTGACCTTCAAAAATCAGGCTTAACAAAATTGTGCGAAACCAAAGAAACGCAACGGTGTGCTCGCGCGTATATTATATATATATATATTGAAGTGCATCAACATTGGCGGAATGGACATGATGTGTTGAATATCAAATGAAAAAAATAATATTATTGTCTCTGCAATGAAGAGCATCTTCTGTGAATATTTTCAAACAGATTGGAGAACAGAGCAGTTACAAATATCACACAAAACCTGGACTTAACATACCATATGCTTATCATATTGATTTGTTTTTGTTTATGAGCTAATGGTTTCGTGTAGAGCACGAAACCTTTTTTGTACATGGACTATGTGTGTTAGATATTGGACATTATCATCTGTCAGTGAGGTACAGAGGCCACGAAACTGCCATGGTTTTTAGGTGGTCTGGGGTGGAATTAACAAAACTGCCCTCATGATAATCACAGGAAGGCTTGATTTAGTGGACTACAACGGGCAAGTGCTGGAACGTCATGTCTTTCGTCTTGGTTTCATTCAGGTAAACATCTCCAGGCATAGAACTTTCTTACAGGGCCAATACCACTAGACAATTCTTGGAAAACCAAAATCATATCAACATTGGAGTAGTCACCAATAAATAGCCCTGATATGAATCCTATAGGTATGTGAAGAGTGAAGTACCATGAAACAACAGTTGAAGAAAAGCTACATTGCTCCTAATCCAGAACCTTTGTTTGCAACTCTCTGTGACATTTGTGATGAAATGACAGATGGTTATGTCCAAAATTTAACAGAGTCGATGCCCAAGAGGTTTATGCACTACACAAAACTAATGGCTCCGAAGCAAATAACAAAGAGTACATTTAATGTTGGGTCCAAGTTTTGCATGATGGTATTTGTGATTGCTGTGATCAGTTTTTGTTTGAAACTATCGTGACCAAGTATCAAAATATTCAAAATAGAATATTGTTTATTGCAATATAAAATTCTCCTTTCATTGGATATATAATGCATGTCCATTTTTATCAATACTGATGCTCCTCAATACACGTGCGAAGATAATTTTACATGTCTTTAATATCGCACAGTTTTGCCAAGCTTGTTGTTTTGTTGTTGTTGTTGTTAATACGATTGCTGTTGTTGCGGCTGTGATAATGATGATGATGATGATGATGATGATGATGATGATGATGATGATGATGATGATGATGATGATGATGATGATGATGATGATGATGATTTTCCCCTCAGAATGACCAGCACAGACAATAACGCAGGTAACAGCGCAATGGCTAACGATTCAAGAGGAGGTGGAACTGGTGGTGGAGGGGGCGGAGCTACAGTCGCTATATCAGACGGTGGGCGGGCCCTGATTGTTGACGAGGCGTACTTCGAGGAGCAGTTCCTCCGTTGCCAGGTGTGCAACGAACGTTTTGACCAATCAGAGCGAATGCCGAAGTCATTGCCTTGCAACCATACCTTCTGCCTGCCTTGCCTCACACAGATCTTCGATCATGCTCAGCCACCAAATAGGTGAGAGATTTGGTTTGGTTCTCCTTAACCTGTCTAATTCGCGTTCTGTCTGTCTGTCTGTCTGTCTGTCTGTCTGTCTGTCTGTCTGTCTGTCTGTCTGTCTGTCTGTCTGTCTGTCTG